TTTGTTCTCTGTTTTTTGAAAGCATTCCCAGTTGTGTGCAATTCAATTTTAGTGTTGCGTATTCTTAACCTTATCTAAATTTTTATCATTAACATACTTGTATTTATTTTGTATAATTCTTTATTGGTTTATTTTAATTATAAGATAATAGTGGGATTTATGGTCCACATAATTTTATACATAGGAAACACAAATCATCAATTTAATTCCCCAGTATTCTCCCTTTCCCTCCATATACCATCCCCTGTGTCTTTACTCTACTGGTATCATTTCTGTTTTTCTTTAATTTCTGCATTAAAATTTTTAATAAAATTGGGATTCACTGTGATATATTTCTACATGCACATAGCACCATTGGTTTGATGTCCTTCCACAGGACCTGCCATCCCTTCAATTTCTTCTTCATGAATCTTTTTTCACTCAATATTTCTCCCTTCAAAGACCCAGTTCTTTCTTTTATAAGTGAAACATAATAAGAGAAAAAGAAATAAAGATGCGACATCGATCATGAGTGTTTTGGAAGAGTTAAAGAACTGTTTTCTTAACTAACTTCCTGATAAGGTTGTTGAGTTTGAGCTTCTCGTTGGATGTTGAGAGAACTTAAGTAAAAAATGATTTTAGTAATTTTTTTTTCTACAGGGATAAAAAGAAAGAGGAAATGCTCCAAGTTAGAGGATTAAATTTTCTTTTTGTTCCATTTTCATTTTTTTAACTACTTCAGTGAAGATAAATTCAGTCATGCAGATGGTCAACATGACCACACTACTAAAAAAAAAAAAAAAAAAAGCACAGATGAGCATTACTGGTTGTTTTGTTTTTGGTTTGTCTGTTTTTTGGTTGGTATCAGGGATTGAACTTAAAGGGGATTAATCACTGAGCCATATCCCAGCCCCAACCATTTTATTATTGTTTTTGTTGTTGTTGTTGTTTTTGTTTTTGCTAAGTTTCTTAGGTTCTTGCTAAGTTGCAGAGGCTGGCTTTAAACTTGTTGTCCTCCTGCCTAAGCCTCCCAAGCTGCTGGAATTACCACACCCAGATTTTAGGGTTTTTCTGTTTGACAATAATGTTTTCATGATAGCACATATTGTTTCTAGGAAGATTATCAATGTCAGTGATTCTACCAGAAGAGAACAACTAGCCTCTTAGAAGAAGTTTAAAACTCTTCCCTGTTCAATTTCTGAAAGCCTGTTTTGTGGCCTAATATATAACCTACCCTGCCAATGAATCCATGTTTAATTGAGAATAATGTTCCTAAGCTCCAGTGACTAATTTGGGTAAGAGTCTGAGAAGAGCCTCATATTATTTAAGACACTGTTTCCCACACTTCTCATCAGGACAAGCAGGTTTTTAGTTGTCTACTTGCATCTCCCTGTCCTAAAATCAATCTTGCTAATCTACCTGCTGTGGAGCAAGTGGAGCTTTATTTATACTGAATTAGACACACGCTGAAAACACATTATGCATTATCATTGAGATACATAGACTTAGCAGTTTTACTTTGTTATTAGACCAGATAGTTCTGTCATTCTGGATGAACCCAATTGCAAGTCTCTGATGTGAAATAACATGGCAAAATTCTTCTTCACAAATTTTTTCTACTGCATGTGATGAATGGTGATTGACCATGTGTTCCTTTTATTCTTTTACCAATTCAACATGGGATTACTCAGCATACTTCTTGTCAATCTGCAGAAGGAATGATGCAGGGAAGAAGAAGGGCAGTAGCACTTCAAATTTTCATGCTATTGTCCAGATATAGCACAGGACTCCTCTGATTCTACTTTATTGGGCAAAACAGTCCTCACCCAAGGCACTCTTCTTTGAGGCAGAGAATTATATCTGGCATTCAAAAGGACCTGGAATCTTGGAAACCATGCAGCACTTGTGCATATGTATGATGCAGAGTCTCATGTCCAACTAATTCCTGGACACCTTTTAAGTTGCTCACAAAAGCAAGTCTTCAGTATTCCAAGTTGAGTATTAGGATAAATAGCTTCTCTGTGACATTTTTGTTGTTGTTTTTTTTAATTGTTTTGTTTTGGGAACAGGTTTTCCCTCAGTTGTTGAATCTTGTCTTCCACTTATTATTCCCACTGGCTCAGCCACTAGAGTATCTGGGATTATATGCATGCACCACCACAGATGGCAAAACAAAGTCTTCACTGACCAGAAATCAAACTTGTGTCATGGCATTGAGAGAGCTGAATCCTAACCACTAGATCACCCAGAGCATCTTACTCATACAAATAGACCTGCTGTTGTGTTCACACAAGGACTTTCTGGTGGTTCTCATGGGTGGTAGTGAAGCTTTTCCTGGCTAATTGTACTCTCCAATGTTCACCCTATGTCCAGGGGTGAAAATTCAATCATTTGACCTTTTCCTGCAGCTGCTTGTTGTACAGAGAAAGCTCTGGATGCAGCCTGTTCCCCTCTCACTCTGGCTACCTCATGGTAAGGTTAATAGCCCTCTTTCTTTTTTGATTATTCAAACATCTGATTATTGTGCCCCAAATCATCAAGGGACAATTTGGACTCCCATGTAGGTCCCTTGAAATCCCTTCCACAGGTTTTAAAGTGAGAGAATGCACAACAATACAGCAAACAGAGTGGCCATCAGAACTCCTCTGGCATTTATACACAATGGAGTATTACTCTGCATTAAAAAATGACAAAATCATAGAATTTACAGGGAAATGGATGGCATTAGAGCAGATTATGCTAAGTGAAGCTAGCCAATCCCTAAAAAACAAATACCAAATGTCTTCTTTGATGTAAGGAGAGTAACTAAGAACAGAGTAGGGTCGAAGAGCATGAGAAGAAGATTAACATTAAACAGGGATGAGAGGTGGGAGGGAAAGGGAGAGAGAAGGGAAATTGCATGGAAATGGAAGGAGACCCTCAGAGTTATACAAAAGTACATACAAGAGGAAGTGAGGGGAAGGGGAAAAATAATATAAGGGGGACAAATGAATGTCAGTAGAGGGGGCAGAGAGAGAAGAGGGGAGGGGAGGGGAGGGGAGGGGAGGGGAGGGGGGATAGTAGAGGATAGGAAAGGCAGCAGAATACAACAGACACTAGTATGGCAATATGTAAATCAATGGATGTGTAACTGATGTGATTCTGCAATCTGTATATGGGGTAAAAATGGGAGCTCATAACCCACTTGAATCAAATTGTGAAATATGATATATCAAGAACTATGTAATGTTTTGAACAGCCAACAATAAAAAATTTTAAAAAAAAAGAACTCCTGGTTTTTTTCAACTTTTTGTCTCTTAGCTGCAACCACCCAAATAAACATTTTGTCCCTTAAGGAATCTAAGGGGAAGTGTCTCAGGTCCAGATTTTGCCATCTTTGCCACCCCCCTTAGATGTCCTTGCACATCTTCTTGGAAAACGAGGTGTTTCCCAGATTTTGTTTATAAACCAAAACAGGGAATCTCAGCTGAGATGAGAGTAAGAGGGAAACATGAAGGGCATTCATTTCTTATTTACCTCACTGAAATTCAGAAACCTGATTTGAACTCTCCACAGGAATAATATGTACTAAAATGGTTTTGAATCTTTTCTCATGGATGTGCCACAATCATGGACACGGCTGAAAATACACACCTTCACCACCTGTCCCTGTCCTGAGCCTCCCTGATGTGTCATTAGTTGTTATCAGCATATGGAGATATCACAATTTTCTTAGGAGTATTCATGTCATCATATGGGCTCCAGGAAATGTAGTGCAGTTACAGAGGTCTTTGCAGAGGTCGTGGTAATATAAGAGACACTCTCCAATCTCTCTGACCTAAGCACACAGGGCAGGAGCCTGATACTCCCAGTGCTCTTCAGCTTCAAAGTAACTCCCTGGGAGTCTTATATGTCAGCTCTCTTTCCTTTTATCTCAGACCCACCACAAGCCCTGATTTAGACAGTCACTCTTCCAAGTGAGGAGATGAAGGGCCTGGCTAGGCATATCCACAGGCCCATTGATGAGATATTAAGCCCAATGAAGAGTGAGCAGATATCAAAGGAAAAAGGTTTCTAATTCTACTACAGCAATTTTTGAATTAAAGATCTTAGATCAGTATGTCTATAATACAATGAACACAATGAAGGCTGGATTATATTGTTCTCTATACTGATGGAGTTATAAAATAAAACTCTAACACAGAAGTGATCAGAAAAAAGTGTCCATCAACACAGAAATATTGAGGGACATCAAAGGCCATACAGAATCAAAGGAAATACAATACAATGTGAAATGGCCCCAAAAGGAATTTATAACTGAAATAAATCATTCAAGAATGAACATCATCTATGAGTTTCCAAATATAAAAATCATATTAAAGTAAACCTTACCAACATTCAAAGAAATAAAGTCAGTGGTTGCCTGGATGGTTCTTTGAGCAGAGATGAAGGAAGGACTCCAAAAGGGCAAAGGGGGCTTTGTGTGTAGTGGACAAATTCCTTGGCCTGAGTGTGTTGATATTCCCAAAGGTGTGAAAATATCGCAAAATCTTTCAAAGTTTTCACTTACGTGCATGTTATTGTCTGTCAAATATTGCTTGTTAGAAAACACATAAAATTATGCTAAAACATGAATCACAGATATTCAAAATGAGGGCTAAAGAGAATAAGACACAAGTTCTAGAATTCCTAGAAATAGGAAAAATGGAGTGTGGAACTACAGTGTTCCCCATCAGAAGTCAAATCTGAGATGGCCAGGGTTGCACTGGCTACTTCATCATTTGAACTTCAGGGTAAAGAGACCACAGCATCCTGTTCAGCTCCTCAAGCTAAGGAGAATTTCTGTTTTTATGGAGATATTTTCCTAGGAACATCCTGCTGTGACTCTGAAAACACATAAAAGAGGCTCCACACTCAAAGAAAGTGCCAGGATATTCAGTTGAGCCTATTTTAGTGGTAGCAGAAAAAGCCAGAGGCCAGGCCTGAGCAAAGATGCTGGGCATTGGCCCTTCTGACAGATGGTAAAGGGTTTTTTGTCTCACTTCCCCATGAACCTGGAGCACTGTGGGAGCATTGAGGCTACTGTCATAAGACTGACAGAAATAGTCAGCCTCATCATCAGGCTGGAGACCAGTGATGGTCAGTGAACCAGAGTTGCCAGACTTGGAGCCAGAGAAGCGATCAGGAATCCCTGAGGGTCGATTACTATCACCATAGATGAGGAGTTTAGGGGATGTTGCTGGGAACTGCTGATACCAGTTCACAAAACTGTAACCAATATTGTTGCTACTTCCAGTGCAGGAGATGGTGACTGTCTGTCCTGGAGTCCCAGAAAGTGAGGGCTGCTGAGTCAGCACAGACTGGGCCCAGGTCCCTGGAAGTGAGAGAAACACAGAGAGCATAATTTTTGTCTAGAGACAAGAGTAGAATCAGGGCCTATATCAGAGGACACCCAAACCCTATTACACCTCCATATCATGTCACCTGTGCACTGAAAAAGGAATGTGAAGAGGAGACAGGACCAGGCCATGGTGAAGGTCATTTTGAGCTCTGCCTTTTGTTCCTGATGCTGAGCAGAGGTTCCCCCAAGTCTCTCCCTTGCTCTTTTCATACTCTGAGAAGGGGAGGGTCTATCCATGCAAATTAGGTTTCTCTATGATATCTGATTGCATCCTGGCTCCTGATTCAGACTCCTTTACATAAAAATGCCAAGTGGGTGTGCAGGGGTAGAGTTGGGTTGCTTCAGATGATGTGGGAGGTCACAGCTATGAGCCCTATCATGAGAGCATCAGGCAGGACCAGCTGGCTTCTTACACTTCCAGTTTCTTTCTAACCCCTCTTAACTGGTCTTTAGCACCCCCTGTTGTCCAAGCTCATAAACATTATCATGTGATATTTTGATCAGACCCCCTGAGACAGTCCTACATCTCCTTTACATTCCCAATTCCTCTGTGTAGTGGCCAGGCCAGTGAGCTCCTTCTGTGGCCTCCTCCTTCCCTCAGGTTGGCCTTCTTGCTTTACTCAGACTCCACATTGTAAATTTATGCATACTTCACTTGATTACTCCCTGGACAAAAGTAAGATGGTGTCTTTGATATAAATTCTTATTAGATCAAAAATTAGGCAAGTGAAAATACAGTCTCATGTTTTATTAGCTTATAGGGTGCCATCTAGTTTACTATACACAACACAAAAACTATGTCCCAAATGTCCTTTTGCCTAATACTTGGTGAGGAACTCACTTGTAAAATCTTATGAATAGCCTTTTGATGTCGTTAAGAAGATACTTGTATGCATGTTTTCAAGCTTTCTCAGTTCACATATTTATAACCCTTATTGTCATCAAGTGATACTGAGAGTGGTGACTATAACTCCATCACAGCCATATAGCTTCAGCCACCACTGGCTACATGGAATGCCACAAGGATTGTAGATCCTGAAAGGACTCAGACAGCAAGACTCTTGAATGTTTTCAGACATGGATGAGAATTCACTGTTTTAGGCAATGGCAGGGATTGAGGTGGTCTAAACATGAATATCAGCCAGCCTTTTGTTCAAAATGTGTTCAATAGGTTTCAGTGTATTTCACAAGGGTTCCTGTGGTTGCAGCTGAGGAAGTAAATCACATTCTAAATTTTTAAAAAAATTTATCTTATTTTTTAAATGTTCTTATTAGTTATAAATGACAATAGAGGGTATTTCAACATATTACACATATGTGTATTGTAACTTCCCATTCTTCTGGTTGTATATGATATAGAATTACATTGGTCATGTATTTATATATACACATATGTCTGAGTTATTCTATTATCTTTCATATTCCTATTCTTCTGCCCTTCCCTTCATTACCCTCTGTCTTATCCAAATTACTTGTATTCATCCTTAAGCCCTGCCCTTATGTGACTTAGCAACCACTTTTCAGAGACAACATTCAGTCTTTGGTTTGGGGGACTGGCTTATTTCACTTAGCATGATAGTCTCCAGTTCTATTCATTTACTGGCAAATACCATAATTTCATTATTCCTTATGGCTAGCTAATATCCCATTGTGTATATATACAAATTTTTCTTTATCCATTTATCTGTTGAAGGACACCTAGGCTGGTTCCATAGTTTAGTTCTTGTGAGTTTAACTGGTATAAATATTGATGTGAGTGCATCACTGTAGTATGCCAATTTTGAGACCTTTGGATATAAACCAAGCAGTGAGGTAACTGGAAAAAACAGTGATTCCTTTCTAAGTTTTGTAAGGAATCTCTAAACTGCTTTCCAGAGTGGTTGCACCAATTTGCAGTCCCATCAGCAATGTACGAGTGTACCTTTTTACCCACATCCTTGACAACACTTATTGTTGCTTGTATTCTTAATAATTGCCATTGTAATTTGTGTGAAATGGAATCTCAATGTAGTTTTAATTTTCTTTTTCTAATTGCTAGAGATGTTGATTTTTTTTTTCATATTTTTGACATTTCTGTATTCCCAGATAGGCAACAGTTGCCATTTTATGGCCTAAAAACTTCCATACTTAGGACCAAAACTCACCCCATAGTAGGTTTTACTTTTTATCTCCAGAAAAATTTGTAATTAAATACACACAGAATTAAAATCAAGCAACTATATTTATTTCTGGGGTAAGATAAATTGTATGCATTGTGGAATTTAATATTTGTTACATTTATAAAGTGATAATCCATAGATTAGAAAATACAATATACATTTTCTGATTAATAGATTATTTTTAAAATATACATTAAATGTGTGCATTATAAAGTCATTCAAATTTTTTGGGCTGGGGATGTGGCTCAAGCGGTAGCATACTCGCCTAGCATGTGCAGGGCGCTGGGTTCAATCCTCAGCACCACATAAAAATAAAATAAAGATGTTGTGTCCACCAAAATTTTAAAAAATAAATACTAAAAAAATTCTCTCTCTCTCTCTCTCTCTCTCTCTCTCTCTCTCTCTCTCTCTCTTTAAAAAAATAAAGTCATTCAAATTTTTAAAACTTTAACATGTTAAATTTTAATCCTTATTTCTTCCTTCCTTTTCCCCCCTCCCTCTTAGGAATAAGCACTATAGGCCCCTTTGTAAGTTTCTGTAGTTTTAATGAAAATTCATTTCTTCATCTTCACATAGTTCTCTCCAGGGCAATGATTGTTAATTTTTTGCATATTTTTTCCTTCCACAGGAGAAGCTCCGCCTGCCCTTCAATTCAGAAGTTCAAAAACATCTCATCTGCAGTAGCAGATGAGAAAATTTAATTCTTCTTGTTTTCATAAGTGTACCCAAATCCACCAGCACATACAAAGTTTATTTTTGATTATCCTCTTCTCTAACTTTAACTTCAAATATGAACACAGAATATTTGAACTATTTACATCAAGCAACATTAAACAAATATTATTAAATGACCAATGTTTCAGAAAGAAAAATTCAGATAGAAAATAAGCAAATGATAGTGGGACTGAAAATGTTTGCAACCACTCTGGAAAGACATATGGAAATTCTCAGAAAACTTGGAATGGAACCACCATTTGACCTAACTATCCCACTTCTCAGTTTATACCCTGAGCACTTAAAATTAGCATTCTACAGTGATGCAGCCACATCGATTTTTATAGCAGCCCAATTCACAATAGCTAAACTATGGAACCAACCTAGATGCCTTTCAACAGATAAATGGATAAGGAAAATGTGGTGTACATACACAAAGAAATATTAGTCAGCACTAAAGAGAAATAAAATTATGGCTTTTGCTGGTACATGGATGGAACTTGAGACTATCAAGCTAAATGAAATGAGACAGTCCCTAAAAGCCAAAGGCCAAATGTTCTTTCTGATATGTGAATGCTAACCCATAGTAAGGAAGAGTAGTGTGGGTAAATGTAGAAGCACTTCAAATTAGACAAAGGGGAATGAAAAGAAGGGATGGGAATGAGAATAGGAAATACAGTAGAATGAACAAGACATAACCTTCTTGTGTTCTTTCATATACATATATATATAAAGACCAGTGGAACTCCACATCATGTTCAGCCCCAAGAATGGGATCAAAATTGTAATAGTTGCCCCCAATGTATATATAATGTGTCCCAATATACACTACTGTCCTCTTTATCTATACAAAAAAAAATAAAATAAAATAAAAATGAGCACATGAAATAACACTAAATCTCATTTATCATTAGACTGTGCATATTAAGGTGATACACATTTATTGGATGGTTTGAATATTCCACAAAGGTAATTAAGTGAAAATAAATGTATACTGAAACAATATGTTCACTGTTAATCCAGGTGCCTGAAGATCTTGTGGAAACCAAAAGAAATAATAACATATGCTCAGCTAGCATGAGCTCACCCATTCCCTAAGCCAATCTGTGGATTACTGCATAGATGCATGAATACACAGGTTATTCATAAGAAAATAAACCACTTAAATGAAGGTATTAGTTTATCACTATAATCCCTTTCTTCATTTATTTAAACACAAGGGCAGGGTCTACAATTACTGACTAGAAGCACTTTAAATACAGATTATTCTTTCAACCAGGATTGTTATTATGATAAAAGTAAAATACACCAAATTTATTGTTATGGTTTAAGGCTTTGGAATATTGAAATTTGAAATTAAGGTTAAAAATATACAGAGCAAGAAAACATCTTATTAGACTTTTAATTTTTACTGCTTCAGATATTTGAAGCAGAATATCTGAATTCAAATGTTTACATGGATAGTTTACATGAGTCTATGATTAAGGAGTTTTTAAAAAGCAAATAAAAGAAAAATATTTAAAAATTTAAATAAAATAATATAAATAAAATATTATTTTATTTATATTTTATTAAATAAAATATTAAAATAATACATGTCAAACTGAAGAGACATCATGGATATTTATATGTTTAATTCAGTGATACTCTTTTAAACACAATGCATTTACAGGATTCAGTATCTAATTTGAATTACAATTGTTGGGTCCTGATGGGTAGATACTGATTGCTGTTGGAATTTTATTACCTTTATATAATTATGCATAATTTACAATAAAAGAAAACTTTGTAATATACTGAGTTTTAATGATATTATGGGTTATCACCTTGATGGGCTTTAACTTCTGTGCCATACCTCCTTTACTAGTGATAATTGATAATTTTATTATTTTTTATTAATTTTTAGTTTTATTGATTTAAAAAAATAAATGACAGCAGAATGCATTACAATTCTTATTACACATATAAGCACAATTTTTCATAACTTTCTATATAAAGTATGTTCACACCAATTCATATATATATATATATATATATATATATATATATATATATATATATATATATATATACACACACACACACACACACACTCTTTGGATAATGATGTCCATCACATTCCACGATCATTGCTAACCCCCTGCCCCCTCCTTGCCTCTCCCACCTTTCTTCCCTATCTAGAGTTCATCTTTTATTTCCATGCTCCCTCTCCCTACCCCACTATGAGTCAGTCACCTTATATCAAAATATTTGGCATTTGTTTTTTGGAGATTAGCTAACTTCACTTAGCATTATCTTCTCCATCTCTTTTGATTTACATGCAGATGTCATGATTTTATT